GTTCATCCGCTATATTGGATCCGCCAATTTGAAAATTTAGGCGATTCAGGTGCATCAATATTTTTTTGTACCTCATCAAATTTTTCTAGGGAACTCTAGTAACAAGTTCATGCAAAATAAATCCGTCCGTTTTACCTTTTAACAAAAAAAACTAATGTTTTTGGTGAAGAATAGATATTCCGTTTACATTTACCCCAAATGGCCCTATTTAGGTAAATACAAAATTAATAATTTATTAAATAATTGAATATTTCTTAAAATTGAATTCTCATGAATTTATTTATGAAAATAATTGAAGTATTGCAAAGAAATTTATAAAATATTTGTAAATAATTGAATTCCTGTAAAATTTTTATTATTTATGAAAATAATTAAATGTTTGTGTATGCTATTATTATTCAATTAATATCTAAAATTTTACATGAAATTCATTTTTAAATTAAGTTTTATTTAAAATTCTACGAGAATTCAATTATTTAAATACAAAAATAAATAATTTATTGAATAATTAAATGTTTTTTAAAATTGAATTTTTATAAAGAATTTTATCAACAAATTTTTAAATAATTGAATTCTTTCGATAAATTTTAATAAAATTTTTAAGAATCATTTTCATTTTTCGAAGAAATTTATTAAAATTGTATTAAAAATATTTGAAATTCTCCGACGAGTTTTATTATTTCTGAAAATAATAGAATTCCTAAAACGAATTTTATTATTGTTTATGATAATAATTGAATGCCTGTAAAAAATTGTATTATTTACGAAAATAATTGGATTATTGCGAAGAAATTTACAAAAAAAAGTTGTAAATAATTGAATTCCTGTGTAATTTTTATTATACCTATATGAAAATAATTTAATGTTTGCATAGAATTTTATCAAACTTTTTTTAAATAATTGAATTCTTTTGTAAAATTTTATTAAAACAGTAGATATTGAAAATCATTGAATTGAGGATATTTTTTGAAAATAATTGAAATGTTGACTAGAACTTTTAAAAATTTTTGAACATAATTATTGAATTACTGCAATCATTTCTAACTTCTTCAAAATTCAATTTTTTAACTGTTTTAACTAAAATTCTTCTATAAATCCATAATTTTTAATAATTAATTAAATAAATATATATAAAAAACTTTAACTAACTTCAGAAGAATTTGAAATTTTTTTCAGTTTAAGCATTGATATATGTAATAATAATTTACCATAAATTACTTTCATCGTTATTTGTTGTTAATTAAATTTTATTAATTCGTTAAGAAAATTAATTAATGTATGATTATTTTAAAGAAATTTTATTTTAATAATGTCGAAATCTAACTGAAACAAGTTTCTCATATTTAAATACAACAGGACAGACTTTTAAATTATTTAAAATTATTTTTTGTAAATTTCGTTTTTAAAAAATTATTTCTGTGTGATTTAGGTATGTAAATTATTATAATAGGTGATAATTCATTTTGTCGAAACTTTTAATTTTACTGGCCTAAATGTTTCTAGAAAATTTTTTTTTACGTTTTTGCATTCTTAATTAGTTTTAAAACTTATTTTATTTATTTACAACTGAAACACACTTTGAAATTTCCTTTATTAAAATCAGAGAAAAGATCCCAATTCTGTCTTTAAAAACCAGAGAAAAGACAGAGAAGAACAAAATTAAATTTTGGTGTCAACTCTAAAATAAAATTTCATAAAATGTAATATTTTTTCGTATACCAAAAATAAAGAACCAATTATAAATAAATCGAGTTTTCAATTTTTTCTAAAATCAATTATTACTCTGGGAAAAAAATTCATTAATCACAAGTTAACCTTTTTTCTTTTGATTATAATTTATCTTAAAAGTTCAACCCCAATTTAGTTTCTCTTCGTACTAATTATCTTCAATTTTTTCCCTATATATACCTATACATACTCTAAACAGAGAAAGAGAGAAAGAGAAGAAAATAACGGTCCGTCACACCTATGTAGATAAATGATTGCACTCATATAATTGATAGTTAAACTGAAAAAAACGCAGAGAAAAAGTAAATTAACAAAAAAGCGGAAGATAATGTTTTTTATAATAAAATGCACATTTAATTATAGAAAGTGAATGCGTTAACGTAAGTATTGCTTTATGGCTTACATAATTCTGAAATGAAAGTAAAAAGAAAAAAAAATTTAATAATACGAATAGTGGCGAATGGCGAGAATGGCGACTTTGGTCTTTATATATATGAATGAGATGAGTTTTAGAATATTTCATACCTGCAACATAAAAAAATAACGCTACATATAATCCTGACTCTATTCTGATGGATTCCATGTATATTGCGCGTGAAAAAATTTCTATTATTACCTTCGTTTTTCCATTGCTGTCGAATAGTTTTTATTCAACTAGAAAAAAAAGATATACAAACTCATCAATGTTTCATGACTTTTTGTTTATATGTTATTTGTAACAAATTTGTAACTAATATGTGTACTATATAAGAATTTAAAAAAAATTTATTGTTATTAAGATTTTTAAATATTATTTATGTATTGTTTTCGTATCAATTGTAGAAACTTAAAAAATTTTCTTAGTACTTTTAATCAAATTTTCTGTCTTTTCCCTAATTTTTCTGACCATTTTCATTTTCCATGATTTTCCTGATACGACCTGCGACAATCCTATGTATTTATGATTTTTTGTAAAATTATTAAATAAAAAATAGAATAAAAAGGAACAAAAGGGTCTTTACCCTTTTGTCAATTTTTATTAGACGCAGAGTATTCCAGATAAATTATTATTATATATACTATTTGTAGAGGTCTCGAGAATCCTTATAAAACGTAAGCCAAGAATTGAAGTTGGATTTGAAGATTAAAGCTCTTTTCACAAATGAAATTACACTCCACATTACATATATACTGGCTACAGAGAAGAAATGTGTTGCATCTTTGTGTAATAACTCTATTAGGAAAATATATATTGTGCATGTTAGACTTTACATAATAATGTTTATATAAAGATCCGGACATAATACACGTAATTCAGAAATACCAATTTATCAAAATCTTTAACAATCAACTTAAATAATGATATATAAGTCTTTGTAATGGTAAGAAGGCATCTTTATTTCATATACATATATATATGAAAAGAAGTTAAATATAACACCAAGATTGAGGAAAGTGACTTTTATTCAATATACTTTTTGAGGGGATGGAAAAATCAATATTTATATGTAAAAACAAATTTTAAGCTAAAAATGTATTACTTTATATATTTGACTTTTATAAATTTGCGATTGTACTTTGTATTTTTATAGTTATATACATTAAAAATATCCTAAACAAAATTTTAATGTACATTAAAATAAAGCTGAGAATCTGATGTTTAATTTCCCTATACATCATTTATAAAAAGGAGGAAAATTATTACTTTTATAAATAATCAAATTTCACATATTGTCCCGAGTAAAAATTCAATTTTATCTCCGAAGCCTTGCTTTTTATTAAATAATTGAATATACAAGTAAATTTAACGGAATATTTCGATGATAATATAAACTTACACTGAAAAAAAAATTTATTTGATTCAAATAACCGATTAATTGACTATTATCAAGTTAATATTTACTTGAATCAAATAATCTTTATTGGAGTCAATTAAATGGTATTTGCTTCAAATACTGAAATTATTGGTTCAAATTCCATTTAATTGACTCCAATAAATATTATTTGATTCAAGTAAATATTTAATTGATAATAGTCAATTAATCGGTTATTTGAATCAAATAAATTTTTTTTTCAATGTACGGTGTAAAATTTGTATATTTTACTAAAAAATATATTTTAATTGTGCCCTAATGTGAATAAATGTGAAAAAACTGTATTTTTCATCTCTGAAGCCTTTTCCTTGAAATATGCGAGTTTTTCTTTTGTTTTTTGTATTTACCTGCATTATTTAAAAAAAAATTAACCCAAATAACAATCAAATCAGATACTTTAACTAGATTTATATTTTAATCGAACTGAATATATTTGGTATTAAAATATGCAAATTATTATTTTTTAAGCAGTGTAATTTTATTTTGGATTAAGTGAACAATATTAGCGAGTATTTTTAATAGAAAAACTCTCGAATCAAATAAAACTAATCTAATAAAGCAACAAAGTCAATCTTCTTCAAAGAAGAAAAACTTAAATATTTTTAACAATTAATTTTGCGCAACCGAAAAATCTTACTCTTGAGTATAAAGTAAAGTTGTTTCAATAGAAAAAACCATATAATTTCAAAAAAAAAAAATAAATTGAAAAATTGAAGTTCAAAAGTAGCACTTTCAGAAAAATCACCTATATATACGAATATTCATTTAGAGAAAAAAGAGGATTTTTTTTCTTTATTTGACAATTTTTTAACTAAAAGATTATTTTTAATATTTCTTCTTTAAATGAAGTTATTCTTCTAAAATTAAAACAAATTTATATTAGAAAAACCATTATTATTTATTTCTTTTGTTCTGAACGCACCTTTATTAAAAAGTGACACTTATTAGCAAATATGAAAGAGAAAAATCCTCTCAATTAGAAAGAAAATCTTTAGTGCCCATATATGTAAGAAGTTAAAATGCTGCAAACGAAGAGGAATTCTCTAAAATTAAAAACATTTTTTTTCGGTGCATTCAACATAAATAATTAAATTAATTTAATAGATTCATTTAATTTTTAAACAAGTGTAATTCAAATGATTTAAACCAAATACATATTTTTTAAATTCATTTTAAAAATATTTGAACCAAATAGATATTTTTTTAAAATCGAGTTTCAAATAATTCGAATTAATTAAATCGAATAAATTTTTTTTTACAGTGTAACTTTATTTTTGTTAGAGAGAAAAAAAGAGAATGGAAAATTAGTCAAGGCAAACAAATTTTCCTCTCTAGGTAAAGAGCAAATATTTGAAAATAAAAAGTTTTCGGATTATTTCTTTCAGTTAATTAATTAATTTATTTGTTTTGTTTGTACAGGACGAAGGATGGAAGCTGAATCGGACTAATTACTATCAAGAAGGATGGCTGGCTACGGGTAATGCCCGAGGATTGGTCGGAGTAACATTTACTACCTCGCATTGTCGCACTAGAGCAACAGAACTTCCCCTCCGAGCGAATTATAACCTCAGAGGTCACAGAAGTGAGGTAAATTTGTAGATTTGTTACCTAACATATACATTACATACTATACATTGCATAAATACTGCGCTATAAAAAAGAATAACTCGCATGGAACTCATTTTAAATTATGAAATAGTGGATTTTTTCCTTTTTTAGAAATATTTACAATTTTACGTTTTTGGGGACAAAAATGGGAAAATATTTATTTTTTACTCGATTGTCACCAATTTTATGAAAATTTATTTTTATATTAGAAAATATTTTTAGAACTTTAATTTATTTTTATTAGTCAATTTAACATTTTGTTAAGGCATTTTTGAAAAGAAATTTTTTTTTAAAAATGGAGTTTTGTATATAAAGTATAAAACCCAAGAAAAGATGTATTTGACTCAGAGTCAACTACACTTTTTATTTGTTTTAAATAAATTTTATTTGGTTCAAATAAAAATTTTATTTATATCGAATAATATTTTTATTTAAAATGAATAAATAACCTAGTTAACTCTGAGACAAATTTATACTTTTATATTTAACTCAATTAAATTAAATTTGATAAAATTTTTCTTAGGGTGTAGAGATAATTTGTTTACGAATATACTTAAAACTATTATTATTTATTATTATAAATTATTATCATTCTTAAATTGGCGAAATAAATTTTATTAACTAACTATGAATTTTCAATTTTAATTATAATATCATTTTTTTTAATTTAAAAAATTATCAAAAACTTTTAAATCTTCTAATTACAATAGACTTCAATTGGTGGATTCCACGTCAGTTCATCACACTTATTTTCATGACTTGTTGGAATTTGGCTGTACTTTTGTAAATTTATTACTTTTATAGTGATAAACAACTTCACCAAATATTTTTTCAAAATTTTAAAAAGTACCAAAAATATGGCATTTTCAAAATTTTTGTCTTTTTTTTGAAAGTGCTATAACTTTGGTTCTAATTAACCGATTTTGGATTTTAAAAAAAGGATTTCTTTGGTTTTAAGTATATTTTAAGTTAAAATTAATATAAAAAAAAAAAATTCAAAAAAAATTTTTTTTTGAAATTTTGAAAAATTAAAAATCCGTTTTTGAAAAAACATCATCTTCGATTTTTTTCAAAATTTTACTAAATGTTAGGGCAAATGTGCTTTACATGTCCTGTAAGTTTCATCTTGGGATCTCAAAGGGATTCAGAGTAAAAAAATAAAACGTAACCACAAATTACGAACATATGGGGCAAAATTCCTCAACTGCCCAGGTAAAACAATGAATTTTCTCTAAACTTTGCTAAAATGTTACTATTATTAGTAGAAGTGTAAATATTAATTTTTTTTAATTTGATAAAATATTTTTTGAGTTATGGAGTTTCAAAATTTTGATTTTTTGAAAATATCTTTTTTCCGATTTAATATATTATTAATAAGTAAAATTTATTAAATTTAAAGTATGAATAGTGATTTTTAAAGGGGTTTTCACGGGCTATAAGCTGGTGACCTTTTTCTATGAGCCATGTAAAAATCAGAGTGGGACCATGAGAATTTTTGAGGAAAATAATAATTTATCATTATTTTACATAGAAAATGATGATTTATAATTAATTTCTTTAAAAAGTTCCATGGTCCCACTCTGATTTTTACATGGCTATATGAAAAAAGGTAAGCTTTCGATTGGGATAGGTTACAAAAAAATAAAAAACACTGATTTTGAGATACAGTAGAACTTGGTTAATACGATTCTGTAGGGACCGCACTAAGAATGCGTCTTATGCGGGAAATCGTATTAAACGGGATCGTATTAACCGGGTTCTACTGTATATTGAAATTAAGAATTTGACCTTGAATTTCAAGGTCAAATTGACAGAAAACAACTTTTTTTTTATCACCAGCTTAAAGCCCGTGAAAACCCCTTTAAAAATCACTATTCATACTTTAAATTTGATTAATTTTACTTATCAATATTGTTTACTTGTTGTTTAGGCAAGGATTAATGTCAATCAAATTGAGAATCCTTGCACGTGTGTTAACTTAATAAGACACGCTAAAAAATAAATAGACACGAATTGATACTATAAACATTTTATTAAATTCTGAGAAGTGTTCTCAGATTCGAATCAGTAGTTGTTCTGCTGGTTTTTTCTTTCTTGCAAAAATACATTTTTGAAATTACAAAAATCAACGTAGTGGGGTTTTACAAATGTCGATGTTATTGGTTGATTACTTTGTTGAGGGCGTTTCCATATTAACAAAAAAGGAGTGGGAAGTAGTCTCACGTTTGGCAAAGATAGTCAGGTACCCAAGGTACAGGATCCTTAAGTTGACCGTAATAAACTCTAATTGCGACTACATCTGTTGGGTTTTAACACTTACTTTTTGAATACAATAAGTGAAAATGTCTTGTTATTTTAACAATCTTAAGTTTCCTTTTTTTTATAACTTTTATACTTTATCCTAATCTCCTTCTTTACCTCACGTTTCAGTTATAAACTAACAAAATTTGTGAATTGTAAAATAAGATAATAAAATTGACAAGCACCTTCCAACAAATATATTAAATTGAAAAAAATATATTTTCAAAAAAATCAAAATTTTGAAACTCCATAACGCAAAAAATATTTTATCAAATTCAAAAAAAATTAATATTTACACTTCTACTAATAATAGTAACATTTTAGCAAAGTTTAGAGAAAATTCATTTTTTTACCTGGGCAGTTGAGGAATTTTGCCCCATATGTTCGTAATATGTGGTTACGTTTTATTTTTTTACTCTGAATCCCTTTGAGATCCCAAGATGAAACTTACAGGACATGTAAAGCACATTTGCCCTAACATTTAGTAAAATTTTGAAAAAAATCGAAGATAATGTTTTTTCTAAAACGGATTTTTAATTTTTCAAAATTTCAAAAAAAAATTTTTTTTGAATTTTTTTTTTTTTATATTAATTTTAACTTAAAATATACTTAAAACCAAAGAAATCCTTTTTTTTAAATCCAAAATCGGTTAATTAGAACCAAAGTTATAGGACTTTAAAAAAAAGACAAAAATTTTGAAAATGCCACATTCACTTTAATAGGTTATTATTTTTACTTTAAGACATTTTTCTTTCATCTTCGTTTTCAATTTCAATTTGTCAAAATGAAAGTGAAAAAAATCTTTCAAAGTGAAAGTAAAAATGAAAGTAAAAGTAGAAATGAAATTACATAAGCGACCATCTAAATTAGTAAACTACTAATAATAGATAGTCAAATTCCACTGACTTATTAATTTTTAGTAGAATTTTACAAAAATTCCTAGTTATCTAATACACTAAATGAATTATTAGTGAAACTGATTTATCGATTTTTAGTAAAGGATCGATTATGTAATTTCATTTTCACTTTGACTTACAATTTCACTTTCACTTTGATAGATTTTTATTTTCACTTTCATTTTTGATTCGATTTTCACTGCCACTTTAATAGAATTTTATTTTTACTTTCATTTTTATTTTCACTTTCACTTTGATAGAAAGTGAAAATAAAAATCTGTCAAAATGAAAGTGAAAATGAAATTCGAAGTAGAAATAAAATTACATAATCCACCCCCAGTTCTACCAATTATTGTTAGTAAAATTCTATTAACAATCAGTAAAATTTCACTGATTGCAAAAAAAGTTTTTACTAAATCATTTTTTATTGATGAATTTTCGTCATTTTATATTAACTTTTTTTTATAAATATTCAGAGTTGGAGAGTAATACTGAAAATCTTGGCTGATTAAAATTGAATATTACTATTAAAAAAAGAATAATAAAAAGAATAACATGCTGAGAATGACAGTTTAGAATATTTAGTCTAACTAAATTTGTCTATTACCACTGATAAAGGAATTACAGAAGACTATTATTTTGTCTGACTAAAATCAAATTTCACTACTGCAGTTAGAATTAAACCAGAGTGAATTTAATTTCCAAAGTCTCAAACGGAATTTACTACTGCTAATAGAACTAGAAGTGATTTTGTCCGACCAGAACAGACCCACCCTTTTGAGGTGCAAAGGTTTCACCGACTTGAAAGTCTGTCTTTAATTGCCTTCGACTACTGATCGCAAAATTTATCATTCAAAACGTCTTTGTCTGACTAAAATTGCAGAAATTCAATTATTTTCAAAAAAAAAAATAAAATTCAACTATGTTTAAAATTTGAAAAAAATTGTCGTAAAAATCCCAATTATCTTTTTAAATAAAAAAATTCTTTTTCAAAGTTCAATTATTTTCATAAATGTCAAAAAAATTCTTGTCCTATTTTCAATTATTTTCAAAAATTTTTTTAATTTAAATAATTTTCAATATCTAAGATTTTAATAAAATTTCCCAAAACGAATTCAATTATTTAAAAAAAATGTTAATAAAAGTGTATGTAAACATTTAATTATTTTCATAAATAATAAAAATTTCACATGAATTCTATTATTTTCAAAATTAATAATTTTATTATTTTCATAAAAAACACTCAGAGAAAAAGTTTATTTCACTTAACCAAACTGTTTAATTAACCTATTTTATTTGTCACGATAAAACAATTTTGTTGATTTAAATAAAAATTTGGTTTATTTTAATAAATACGTAAAATTTGTTTGGTTATTGGAAAGAAATTTTTTATTTGAAGTTGTTTGTTTCATTTAACCAAATTTGTGTTTTGAATAGAGAATATTGTTTAGTTAAATACAGTTTGTTCGACACAACACACAAATTTGTTTGATTCAACCAAATCATTTTATTTGAGTCAAATAAACATATTTGCTTGTCTCAAAAAGTACATGTGTGAATTTAAAAATGGCGATCTCACTTGTCTACAGTCCGCGTTCGCGTCAAATTTATTTGTTAAATCGGTTAAATAAATATTAAATACATTGTGTTCATTGACTTACTGCATATTTAATTTGTACCAGTGAAAAGAATATTTACAAAAAGGTTTTGTGAAGTTTTCAGTTTGTTGTTTCGAATAAACTTTTTTCTGAGTGCACGTATAAAAATCATAATTATAATATG